GCGCGTGGCGCAGCTGTGGGGCTACGGGCGGCTCAGCCTGCGCTCGCTGCTGTACAACTCCTTCACGGACAGCGATGTGGTGCTGGATGCCCTCTTCGAGCCGATCTACTGGCTGGTGGACCACGTCACCCGCTGGTTCGGGGTGGTGAGTGCCGGGGGTTGTGGGGGGGCGGGGGGTGGCTGGCCCTGGGGCTAGCATGGACACTGCTCCCGCAGGCATTCGTGGCATTGGTGATTGTGCTGACGAGCTCCGTGGTGGCCATTGTCTACGTCTGCCTCCTGCCCCTCATCCTGCGCACCTACGCGCCCGCCTGGGTCTGCTGGCACCTCAGCTACGGCCACTGGAACCTGCTCATGATCATCTTCCACTACTACATGGCCATCACCACTGCCCCGGGCTACCCGCCACAGGTAGGGTGCGGGGGCTGGGGGGGGCTGGGGAGGCCCGCTTCGAGTGCCGACCGCCCTTCCCTCCACAGACCAAGGGCGACCTCATCAGCGTCTCCATCTGCCGCAAATGCATCGCCCCCAAGCCGGCGCGCACCCACCACTGCAGCATCTGCAACAGGTAGGGACCTGCGTCCCACCAGGCCCCCCCACCGCAGCACAGCGTGGTCGCCCCCCCCTTCCCTCCCTCCTCCGGTGGCTTCTCGCCCCAGACCCCCGGCAGGCGCTCACAGCTGTCCATTCCCCTCCTCGCAGGTGTGTGCTGAAGATGGACCATCACTGCCGTATCCTTCTGCAGCACTTGCCAGGCTGGCCCCTCTCTAGGAAGCCCTGGCTCTTGGGAAGGGGATGGGGGGCTGGGGCCAGGCTCTGGGCGCCTAGGTGTTCCCTGGGGTGCACCGAGCACTTGGGCTGACTGTGTGGGAGGGGGGGGCGGGGGGGGCAGCATAGCCCACTGAGCCCTGGTGTTGCTGGGGGCTGTGTCTAGCCAGTTGCGCCCCAGGGCCCCCTGGGGAAGACGGCGCTGGAGCCAAGAGGGGTCTGGCGAGGCTGCCAGGAGCAGGGCTCAGGTGCAGACTCCAGGTCCCTGCACGCCAGGTGCAACAGGTGCCAGATGGAGCTGCAGCTGCCTGAGACTGGGGACAGCCTGGGGGCTGTCCCTGCCTCACTGAGTCCAAACAGCGCCTGGGCAGCCTGGCTCAGGGGTGTGGCGCGGTGCCCCCTCCTATTGTTACCCATCTTTAATCTGGGGCAGCCTGGCTGAACAACTGCGTGGGGCACTACAACCACCGGTACTTCTTCTCCTTCTGCCTCTTCATGACCATGGGCTGCATCTATTGCAGTATCAGCAGCTGGGACATGTTCCGTGAGGCCTACGCGGCCATCGAGGTGAGTGACACGGCCTCGCGCTCCAGCTTTCCAGGGCAGACAGAGAAGGAGAGGCAGACATGGCCCTGGGCTCCTCATGGCCCTGGGGCACCTGTGCCATGAGGCCTGTAACTGCGCCGTGTTTTCCATCCCCCCAGAGAATGAAACAGCTTGAGAAGGAGCGCCTGCAGGCAGCCGCCAACCAGGTGGGACATCCCCGCGCCCGGGGCCAGCAGGCCGGGCCCTGGCAGCCGCTTCGCATGTGCCTGCGCCCGGGCTCTGCTGCGCCTGCAGGCGCGGAGCTGCCCCAAGGGCCAAGGCCCCAGCCCATGGCTCTTGCCTGCTGCCTGTGGGGTTCATGCCCCAGGTTGCCACACAGCTGCTCCCTGGCGTGCTACCCCGCTGCTTTCACCACATGTCTGTCTGCTCTGTGTGCACACGCGGGGCGGGGGAGGGTCCTCTTGGCTGGTCCTGGCTTCTTGGAGCATCTTGTGGGGTTTGAGGGAGCAGAGCCACCCCCATGGGTTTAACCGGCCACCTACCTTTCCCTGCAGACCTACTACCAGACACCACCCCCGGCCTTCTCCTTCCGCCAGCGCGCCTTCCACAAGAGCATCGTCTACCTGTGGGTGCTGTGCAGGTAACGGGGGCGCTGGGAGCTGACATAGCCTTGTCCTTCTGGGTGATGAGCAGGCAGCTCCATGCAGCCAGGCTCTGGGACTCGGCCTGGCTGGCAGAGTGGAAGGTTGCCTGGACCCAGTGCCCTGACCCCCACCTCCACCTGCCCCCAGCTCTGTGGCCCTGGCCCTGGGGGCGCTGACACTATGGCATGCAGCCCTTATCACCCGTGGGGAGACCAGCATCGAGAGACACATCAACAAGAAGGAGCGGCAGCGGCTGCAGAAGAAAGGCAAAGTGAGCGTAGGAGCTGGGAGGCAGGGAGAGCCTTGGGGGCAGGTGGCCACAGTCACAGTCACGTTCCCGTCTCTGTTCCCGCAGGTGTTCCGGAACCCGTACAGCTTCGGTGCCTGGGACAACTGGCGGGTCTTCCTTGGAGTGGATGTGCCCAGGTGAGAGGGGCTCCAGGCCAAGCCCAAGACTCTGGTGCAGGAGGCACAGGGCCAGGGCTGTGGTTTTGTGGGAGGCCGCAGCATTCACCGTGGGCTGCATCCTTCCCAGGCACTGGCTCACCCGCGTCCTGCTGCCGTCCACGCACCTGCCCCATGGCACTGGCCTGAGCTGGGACGCACCCCTGTGTGTGAGGCCGTGGCACACACCCCTGCTGGCCATCTGACCACCAGCGCAGACCCTCCCCAGCCTCGGTGCCCGGAGCCCTGAGGTCCAAATGCAGATGTCTGTTCTGCCCCCTCGTGAGCTGCAGGCAGCCCCTAGCACAGGCCACAGCCCCACCCAGCACCTCTGCTGGAGAGGGGGCCTTGCCCGATCGCACCTCTGGGTTTTTTGTGTCAAATAAAACCTGTTTTTAACCAGTGCAGCTGCCTACTCGCTGTTGCCTGGTCTGGCCCAGGGGAGCCTAGCTGAACAGGCCCATGGTCCATCTCGGCTGCATGTGGAGCTCTGCAGAGGGGCTGGCTTGGATCCGCTGGTCTAAACACGTGCTTCAGCCGCCTCAGGGGCAAAGAAATAGGGACCTTGCTCCGGGGTGCTAACTGCAGCCAGGAAGGATGGGGAGGCAGCAGCTCGCCAGTCCCTGGACACTGCAGGGGCTACTGGACAGACCCACAGTGATCTGACGGCGCCTGCCAACACCCTGACACTGCTGTACCAAAACACGTGTGTTTATTCTGGTGGCATGTGGAGTGCAACACGTGCCTGGGCCCTGCCTGCTCCCTCCTGTGTGTGGCAGTGGCTCCTGGGCGCAGGGTGGGCATGGCGAAGGTGCTGCCCTCTGGTCCCGGCAGGAAGCGGGTTGGGTTAGCTTGGTGGCACTGGCGGCACGCCAGGCCAGGCATGGGGTGCGATTGTCAGTCGTGCAGGGGGTGGCACGGGCCTCACCTGCCCGGGCTGCCCAAGAGGAACCTGCCAGATAAGAGTTGTGGCAGAACCGGGCAGGCAGGACCTGGGGGGCACAGCCAGCCTGCTCCCCCTGCACCAGGCCCAGCATGAGGCCCGAGGCAACTAGGAGGAGCAGGGGCCAAGACCCTTGCGGCAGCCTGGAAAAAACACACTCCAATGCCCAGGCCGAGGCCAGGCCCCTGCTACAGAGCAAGGCAAAACCCCCCAATCTGCACCAGTCTGAGCAAGGAGGAAATCCCTTCCTGCCCCAGTGCAGCATGAGGATAAGCCTGAGCACAGGGGAAAGACCCTCCCGCCAGGACCCTGCGGGGTCGGTGCCAGCAGGGGCATCAGCGCAGCCCAGCCCCAGCCGGGGCTGCCGAGAAAAGGAAGAAGCCCCTGACACCTGTAGCAGCAGGAAGGGTAAAATGTCCTGGGCCCCCAGGGCAGGCGGCAGAGCCCAGAAACTTGGGACTCCAGTCCCATGCTTGGCCCTGGAGCCTGGGGCCAGCGAGGACTGTGCCTGTTGCCCCCCCTTCCTGCGCAGCACGACTCTTCTTTCTGCTCTGTCATCCCATCTCGTAACCCGACCCAGCCCCTCGCCTCCTGTTTCGCAACCCGGCTGGAGCTCCGTTCCCAGCTCCTGCTGGAGCCCGGTCCTCTCCGGTATCCGAGCCGGCTCCTCTCCGGTATCCACCTGCTCTGGGCAGTAGTGCCCCTGTGACCTCCCAGTCCTGTGCTGGAGGAAGGGGTCCTGGGCACGTGCTGCTGCTTTCACCACCCGCTCCAGGAATCTGTCCTGCTCCAGGCTTGTTTGGCCTTGGCTTGGATGCCTTGGTGATGAAGACACCCCAGCTTTCCTCGTGCATCTTTCCTGATCCTGATCTCAATCCCAACCTGCTTTGCTGCAGTGTCCAGCCCCTGCCCTGCAGTGATGTGTAGAGCCAGTCTCCCCTCCACAGCAGCCCCTCCGGCTACACCGCATCCCCCTTGGGTCACTGTTCCTGCAGACCGACCAGCCATCACCCTCCCCACCACCAGTGGCCTCCCACGCCATGTCACAATGGGCGCCAGCATCTCCTCGTCCCTAAAACGTGGAGCCCGGGGCAGCCTGGACCCCCAAGCCCCTGCACCGTGGACAGCTCTGTGTCAGCTTGGACAGGGGGCTCGGGCTACGATGAGGGTAGATGCACCTGTGCCCAACTCACCACTCCCCACGCGCCACCACTGCCTCCTTCCGCACGAGCCTCTTCTTGTCGTCCAGGGGCTTGGCCAAGGCCCGGATCACCCGTGCCTTGTATGGGAGCAGCTGGGGAGAGATACCCGTCAGCAAGAAGCTGGCCCCCACCCCCTGCATGCTAGGTATGGGGGAGGCAGTCATGGGGCACTTACCCCTGGGGCGGGCAGGCTAGTGAGCGCGTGGATGCAGCGCAGGGCAGCGATGCGGACAGCCTGGAACAGAGCATGCAGGTGAGTCAAGGTCAAGGCTGGGGGGTGG